CGAACAAAGAGGTCAAACTACCCGAACAAAGAGGTCAAACTACCCGAACAAAGAGGTCAAACTACCCGAACAAAGAGGTCAAACTAACCGAACAAAGAGGTCAAACTAACCGAACAAAGAGGTCAAACTAACCGAACAAAGAGGTCAAACTAACCGAACAAAGAGGTCAAACTAACCGAACAAAGAGGTCAAACTAACCGAACAAAGAGGTCAAACTAACCGAACGAGAGGACCAATGTGAGTACGACCATTTAGTCACCACTTGGTCAGGGAGACATCTCCCGTCACGCAGGGTGCAGTTGCGCCTCCACAGATCTCCAGTATCATCTTTTGATACTGGTAATGGCTCAAAAGGGCCACCACTTAGGGGCTATTCATGCCCGTGCCACCTCTTGGGTGGCTTAATCTTCATCAATCGATCAATCAATGTGAGTACAAATAGATATTGCCTTTGCACGAAGATTGCAATTTCAACGCGTTGTTTCAAGCTAAACACACACACACACACAATTAAGAACCTTGTTTTCAGGGAACCTGTTGGTCGTTAAAAACATATACAGTCACACTAACAGTTCAACCACCTCGTTAATGACTGTAACTCGTATAACAGGCAATAAATTAATACCATTCCCTCCCTGATAAAATATAAGAACAGAGCCCAACTTGTTCTACCGTGTTCTACCAAGTAATCAACACTGTCATGAATAAATATTATATCATTTACATTACAAATAATTATAATTGATAATTGCGCTACCGGTGTTATTGATATTAATAACAATATATAAATATGTTGTTGTGATAAGAATTATTTACAAAATGCTGATATGTTGTGACTGACATGTCATATGACACAGACCTGTCTGGTGTTCCTGTCAATGGATATGACACAGACCTATCTGGTGTTTCTGTCAATGGATATGACACAGACCTATCTGGTGTTTCTGTTAATGGATATGACACAGACCTGTCTGGTGTTTCTGTTAATGGATATGACACAGACCTATCTGGTGTTTCTGTTAATGGATATGACACAGACCTATCTGGTGTTTCTGTTAATGGATATGACACAGACCTGTCTGGTGTTTCTGTCAATGGATATGACACAGACCTATCTGGTGTTTCTGTTAATGGATATGACACAGACCTGTCTGGTGTTTCTGTTAATGGATATGACACAGACCTATCTGGTGTTTCTGTTAATGGATATGACACAGACCTATCTGGTGTTTCTGTCAGTGGATATGACACAGACCTGTCTGGTGTTCCTGTCAATGGATATGACACAGACCTGTCTGGTGTTTCTGTTAATGGATATGACACAGACCTATCTGGTGTTTCTGTTAATGGATATGACACAGACCTGTCTGGTGTTTCTGTCAATGGATATGACACAGACCTATCTGGTGTTTCTGTTAATGGATATGACACAGACCTGTCTGGTGTTTCTGTTAATGGATATGACACAGACCTATCTGGTGTTTCTGTTAATGGATATGACACAGACCTATCTGGTGTTTCTGTCAATGGATATGACACAGACCTATCTGGTGTTTCTGTTAATGGATATGACACAGACCTGTCTGGTGTTTCTGTTAATGGATATGACACAGACCTATCTGGTGTTTCTGTTAATGGATATGACACAGACCTATCTGGTGTTTCTGTCAGTGGATATGACACAGACCTGTCTGGTGTTCCTGTCAATGGATATGACACAGACCTGTCTGGTGTTCCTGTCAATGGATATGACACAGACCTATCTGGTGTTCCTGTCAATGGATATGACACAGGCCTGTCTGGTGTTTCTGTCAATGGATATGACACAGACCTATCTGGTGTTTCTGTCAATGGATATGACAAAGGCCTATCTGGTGTTTCTGTCAATGGATATGACACAGACCTGTCTGGTGTTCCTGTCAATGGATATGACACAGACCTATCTGGTGTTCCTGTCAATGGATATGACACAGGCCTGTCTGGTGTTTCTGTCAATGGATATGACACAGACCTATCTGGTGTTTCTGTCAATGGATATGACAAAGGCCTATCTGGTGTTTCTGTCAATGGATATGACACAGATCTGTCTGGTGTTCCTGTCAATGGATATGGCACAGACCTGTCTGGTGTTTCTGTCAATGGATATGACACAGGCCTGTCTGGTGTTCCTGTCAATGGATATGACACAGACCTATCTGGTGTTCCTGTCAATGGATATGACACAGACCTGTCTGGTGTTCCTGTCAATGGATATGACACAGACCTATCTGGTGTTTCTGTCAATGGATATGACACAGACCTATCTGGTGTTCCTGTCAATGGATATGACACAGACCTGTCTGGTGTTCCTGTCAATGGATATGACACAGACCTGTCTGGTGTTTCTGTCAATGGATATGACACAGGCCTATCTGGTGCTCCTGTCAATGGATATGACACAGGCCTGTCTGGTGTTTCTGTCAGTGGATATGACACAGCAAGGCTTATAATCATCCAATAATTGAATATGACAGGTTGATAAGGCTTATAATCATCCAATAATTGAATATGACAGGTTGATAAAAAAAGCTTGACCCAAAAAGTCTTGACTAGTCTTATAGGAGTTTAAATCTGCTCAAACTTCGCGAGAGAATGAGGTATCATTAAAGGTAGGAGAGCAATTTATCCTCTAATTATGTTAGAAATAATGTGTGTCTGTATACACCTATATGGTCTCACCTACATGTACTGGCGGGGGTAGGGCTTCGGCTCCTAGCCCCCCCACCTTCCAATCATTCGCTGTTTAACGACGGATTCGTCGAAATCCATCATTCTTAATGATGACTCACAGATTGATTGGTAACTAGCAATGACTAACAACTTTGGTCACATATCTCTTGTAAGTCACATGTGTGACATATCTGAGTTACACGTGTCTGATGTCTCTCTCACTAGTGTTTAACAACCAATCTTGTTATCTTGAGGTTATCTTGAGATGATTTCGGGGGCTTTCTTTTAGCTTTTTAGGGGCTTTGTTGCATCAACTAACCACCAGGACTTCTTGAGGTTATCTTGAGATGATTTCGGGGCTTTAGTGTCCCCGCGGCCCGGTCCTCGACCAGGCCTCCACCCCCAGGAACCAGCCCGTGACAGCTGACTAACACCCAGGTACCTATTTTACTGCTAGGTAACAGGGGCATTCAGGGTGAAAGAAACTTTGCCCATTTGTTTCTGCCTCGTGCGGGAATCGAACCCGCGCCACAGAATTACGAGTCCCGCGCGCTATCCACCAGGCTACGAGGCCACATAACTAAACACGGACTAAACACGAGAGTTGCAAATACAGCACCTGTTCAACACCTGTATTACAGGTGGTTACAGGTTGATAGGATTAGGCCAGGATTGACCTCTCCACCAATAGCGGGGTTAAAGTTCAGATCGCTTAAGTTAAGGGACAAATTTTGACGGAAAATGAACCTGTCTAAGACGGTAAATTTTATAATTGACTTAAAGATTTTTATGTATTTGGTCTAAGTATATATATATATATATATATATATATATATATATATATATATATATATATATATATATATATATATATATATATATATATATATATACACACAAAAGAATAGGGGTGGTAGGAGAAGAAAATATCAAAGTGTTCAGTGAGGATCCACAAGGTCTTCTCTGAGTACTCTTTATTTTCTTCTCCGAGGCTATGGGTCCCTACACTTGCACCAGAGGTGGTACCCCTTCTAGGTATTAAAAAAAAATATATATATATATATATATATATATATATATATATATATATATATATATATATATATATATATAGCGAGAATGAACACTAAGATAAGGAAATAGCGAAAATCCCAATATACCAAAACGGTATCAACAGACACAACGGGAACAGCAGAAGGAGAAACAGTAAAAATAACCAATGACCTGAATGAGAAACACTAATTAATTATCGCGATCAAACTTAAACAACTAAGAACAGAGGCATAAAAGAGACTTAAGAATATGATAGAGAAGACCAAGATGAGAGAGAGAGAGAAAGAAAGAGAGAGACCGATAATGTGATAGAGAATGCGATAATGATAACGAGAGATATCGAACAAATCTGTATGTTCGCTTCACTCTACACAACGTCTCAAAAGAGAGAGGTAGAGATTGAAGTGCTTGATACAACTCGCGTTGAGTGATAGCAATTGATATTCAACTCTTCAGTGTCACTCAATTATTACCAAGCTGCTATTTTCGGAAAACCCCAAAAAAATTAAAATATAAATGCCTTTACTTTTTTTTTTAAAGGTGTAAGTGGAAAATTTTAGAGTCGGTTCACCTGCCTTGCTTCTTGCAGGGTCGGTGTTCGATTCCCATTGATCCAAGAAGGATTCAATATCCTTTGGACGTATATTCGACTTTATATTTCCCTATTTTTCCTATCTTATATTCGACTATATATTTTCCTATCATGACAATTACCACTCCTAGTACTATCTTATCTTGAGGTTATCTTGAGATGATTTCGGGGCTTTAGTGTCCCCGCGGCCCGGTCCTATATATACTATAACTACTATAGCCACGGCCCAGTCGTCTATATACTGTAACCACGACCACAATTACCACCATTACAACTACAACTGCGGCTTGAACTACCACCACTACCACCATCGTCACTCATTTCCCTCTTCTAATACAGGTTTCAACTTTTATAGCCTCTGTTTGGGTCACTTTTACCGGTAAACGGCAGTGATAAATCGCGGTATTAACAGGCCACACACCAAACAACCCAATTAGAGGGATGCCTTAGTAAATCTTGCTGTTACTCAGGCTGCCCAAACTGTTGCGGCAGGGGCGGGGGGGGGGGGGGGGGGGGGGAGGGGGGGGTGATGTTATTCATCTTCGGAGTCTGGTATTCATGATGTGTAGTATTCATAGTGTGTGTAGTATTCATCGTGGCTTGTATTCATGATATCTCGACTGAAAAATTCTTTGGAAAAAAGGGT